GGGGGAGGTGCGCCCCCAGGCGCCCCCCCGCCGATTCTAATCGCTGTAAGAGCTTCTCGTCCATGCCTCTCTCTGGTTAGAGGAAACGACACAGATCTGGTATCAGATGAGATGATGAACCGTTAACCCTTTTAAAAAAGAAAATTGAAAAAATAATGCGAAAGGAGAGGGGAATAAAATTAAAGGAGGGAAACTATGGCCCCCACGTGTCATTTTCCTTAGCCCAATCCTTCCGATGAATAATCATAATTCATAAACATAAATTAGTAAAAAGAAAGAAAAAAAAAATTAACATACACTCCGCAAGATGTGGGAAAAAAAAGAAAAAGAGATCAGAATAAAAGAAGAAGAGAAAGGGAAGAGAAAAGAATGAGATGAAAAGAGAAGAAAAGAAATGAAAAATAAATAAGTGCATGCTTTGGACATTACTATAATTAGAAATGTTACTGATAAGTTTTCTATATTTATTTTTCTTATTACTTTTTATCTTATAAATAGTGTAAAAAATTTAGTTCTCGTAGTTTGATTAAGTAATTATTTGTCTTTTAAGTATTGTACTTGTGCTATTTTATATAATATAATTAGATTTGTAATATATAATTTAATTAAATGAATGATTATATGATTTGTATTGTTTAATTATTTTTAGTTGTTAATTTGTCATTTCAAAACTATTAAGTTAGGGACTTGAGAGTGAAGTTGGTCTTTTAGAATAATGGAACTAGAGATAAGTTGGTTTAATTTTAATAATTATGGATAAAAAAAAATTTTAAAACGTAAACTTCATAATTTATGTTTTAAAAAACATTATAGAGAAACTAATAAGAAATTTCTTAGAAGTTGAGTGAATTTTTTTATTTTTTTTCTTACTAAAATCATTTTTCCTATCATTGTTGTAGTTTACCAAAAATTATAAAGCTAGTGATTCGAAACTTGTAAAATCTATAAATCCCAAATCATAAGTTTAATAGAGTTGATTATTCTCTTTTCCTCGTATTAGTTCAGATCAACAAGAGGTAAGAAAAGATTTGTAATATTTGTTGGGTTGAATTTTAATGTTGTTATTGGATTCCAATTAATTGTTGATTCCTTAATTGGAAAAGATGAGATGATAAATTTGTTGGATTTTTTGGTTGTTTTTGAAGTCGCTCATGAATGGGATGTGGTGATTCATGACGAATGTATGTTGTTTTGGTTGGTAGAAATAAGTTCCTTTTGTTGTTTTATATGTTGTGTTTTGCAATGCATGTTATTAGATTTTTAGATTTTTCAGGTGAATTGCATGAACTTAGTTTTTACATAAGTATAAAAATTGATATCACACTAAATGCGCTTTCATGGTATTGGATGTGTTTTGAAGTTAAGAGTTTTCATTCTCTAGACATCAGGCACCAGATTGATAATTCTAGAAGTAAGAAGGGAGAAATGTCTTTAGTTAGTCACACTGAACATTATTTTACCTTTAATAGCACAATAACAAAAAATATTTATTTTTAACAGGAGGGATTAAAATTACATAATTACAACACTTAAAAAACTAAAGTTACTTAATTAAAAATATAAGAACCAAAATTACGTAATTGAGATACTTTAAAAACTAAAATTAATTAATTAAAATTTGAGGAACTAATAAAATCACACAACTATGATATTTGATAGACAAAAATGCATTTAAGTCTTGTATAAGTAACATATTTTATTAATTTACAAAGAAAGTATATTAAATAAAAGGTTAATATAACACATTTATTTGAATATATTCTTAATAGTTAAAATTTCTTAAAATTACAAAAATTGAATGATTTCACTTATTATTTGAAGGATTCCATGTTATTTTCAAGTGTTATTTAGAATTTTTATACACAAACTAAAAAAAATGTAATAAATTTGGTGTAAAGAAAGATGAAATGTAATAAATTTATTTATGTCCCATAAATAGTTTAAAGTGTTTTTGTTTACTTTTTTTTTTCATTCCCACTCCCAATAAATACCCACTAGTTATAAATGAGTTAATTAATTAAAAGTCATTAAATAAGAAATAAAGGTTTACTTGAAAAATAAATTATTATTTTCTTCAACTCTTAACACAATAAATAAATATAAATAAACCTAAATTTTTCCATAAAAGAAACAAAGTAATAAAATTTAACCAATAATAAAGAGTATGTTAGAGATTTATTGTTATCACGCAAAAATATATATATATATAT